TTACAGTGAGAGACCAGAAATTGGGCATATAATTGGCAATTTGATAAAGAGAATAGAGGGAGGCTTTTGGAGGAAGAACAAAGGGACAGAATATGGCTCAGAGACTTTCTAGGAGAAATAATACCTTTCTATGAGAGATAAGACCTTTTCAGTGCTCAGAGGTAGATGTGTGACATCTACCTCTACAGGCAGCAAGAGTCAGGTGAGGGAGTCCCTGTTCTGTCTCCCCGTGGTGTGTGTCTTCCTCAGATCTCTCTGCAAAAAGTGAGATATCATCCTCTGAAAATTCTGAAGATCAGATGGGGACAACCTATAAAAAGGGCTTGGCACATACTATACCTCATTAGACATCTCCTCTCTTAAATTTTTGGTCAGACAGGAGCTCTGTCTAGACAGGCCACTATCAGTATGACTAGAAGCTTATGTGCTCCTCAGAGCATTCAGGCAAGGTCGAAAGGCAATCAGAGAACCCTAGTAAATACTCTGGGATTATGCAGAATTGCTGCCCAGACCTGTCTCTGGAGCCTCAGCGAAAGTAACCACTTCAATTATCTTCAGGTGTGGAGAGAGTTGGACGTGTTCAGTGTGTGGAAAGGCTCTAAAAGGATGTTCTGAGGGGAATCAAGGAGGTGTCATCGTGGCAGGAAGGGTTTATAAGGATTAGCCTGCGAGTCGTTGGAGATAAGGGTTCCACGTTAGGGAAAGGGGGAAGAAATCATCTGCTTCTGCCAGACTGTTCAAAAGGAGCTGCCGCTAAGGGAGGCCTTGCAAAAGATGGAGTTGTCCAACTGGAGAGGCTGTTGATCATTGCTGTTTCTTGTTTTTAAAGAAAATGTTTCTTATCTAGTGTTTGGAGGCACTTCCTTTCACTGAGCAAACAGCTGTGCAGTTTATAAAAGTAAAAATCTCAATTCCATTACTTAAGAGTTGTTAATTCAAAAACATCTAAATAAGGAGGTGCAGAAAATGATCTCACCTATGAATTAAAGATATCTGTGCATGTAAATAAGCAAGCATAATGGAAATCATTTGAAAAAAGGACCCCCCCATTGTCTGTTTTAGGTTAATGAGATGTGTTTGTTTGCTGTGGTGAGTGTGGAGAAAATGCTATCTCAGCACTGCAGCTGAAGACTTAGATCCCCCAAATCTTTCCCACAGTCTCCACTAAAGACTACAAATTAGAGTGAGTGTGGCCTTGAAAAGTTACCTATATTTCAAAGATCAGTAGATTTTATCATCATGATTAAACTGTAAGACATTCTGTCTTTCGGATGCTGGGGAGAAGACTTAGTGGATGAAGTCCTTGCTGCACAAGGACCCGAGTTCAGATTCCCAGCACCCATCCCTCAAACACAAGGTGGGGGGGAGTAACTCAGGAAAACAGCCCAACATCAGCCTCTGGCCTCCACACCCGTGAACACATCCATGTGCACACATATGCACATATGCATGCACCACACACAAAACATAAGAAAAAGGAAATGCCAGCTTTCTTCCATGCGTAGGTTAGAAAATGACTTTCGACTTTCACATATTTCTCCCATGTTATCTTTTTTTTGTGGTATTGCTAATGATCCAATCTTATATTTAAACTTTGCATTCCTTTTCATGATCATAAGCTTATTTTTGGGTAAGGGAATTTGAAAAGTTTACTTGCTATTCTGGAAGTTGCCTAACTGTATTGATTGTGCATGGTGGGAAGGAAACAAACAATCACCAGAGTAGACTGGGAAGGAATGACCCAGGTAGGTTCAGTGCAAATATTTTAAAGTTTTCTCAGTGACCCCAAAGGAATAGATACTGAAGGAAATATGGTCAGAGAAGTGTGAGAAACTCAATGGCACACATTTCAGAAATAAATCTAATATTGCTATGGTGACATTTACAGTAAAGTTGCTTTTCATTTTTTCTTTGAGACAGGTTCTCATGCAGCCCAGGATGGTCTTGAACTTGCTATGCAACTGACCTTGAATTTCTAATTCTTCTGCCTTCATCTCCCAAATGCTGGGATTTTAGGCATGCACCACTATGCCTTGCTTATTCAGAGCTGGGGATCCAACCCAGGGCTTCATGCATGCTAACAAAGCATTCCAGCAACCCGGCTACATCCCCAGTCCCGCACCCTGAAGTTTTTGTTTACTTCCTGCTTGAGTCCCAGTCTTTCGTAGAAATTCAAATGGAAGATGTGACTCTGTGCCCCTGGAAAGTGAGACTGGTTCTTCTAAGTACAACATGGGACAAAGCAGAAATCACGGTAGATGTGGGGTGTCTAAGCAAGGGTCATACCTGAGGATACTTTGTTCTAGAACCTGGATCTGGTGCTGGTCTTGTTGATTTTGCCTCTTCATCTCTTCCTGTTCTTTTCCACTGCTGATTCCATCCAGGAGCCATTTCTCCCTTAAGGCTTTTTTCTGACGTCAGGAAATATAAAGATATGTTCTTATATCAGTCAACAATTCCCCAAACCTCTTCTAGTTTTAGAATCTTATGAACAGCAGTGGTAGGCACATTCAAGAGGAATTACTTTTGCCCACTGCCTTACTTGAATAAATCTAGCATTTTTCTTCTTTGCAACTTTCTGAACCTGCTTCAAAAGCCCATTTCTATATTTTCTGAATTGTATTTATCTTTTAAGATCTAGTTCAGGCCCCTTCATCCATGTGAAGGCCCCTGTCCTCCACTGCCCATAGACCATCCTCACCTTTAAGGGACTCTGCAGAGCTTTCTTAGAGCAACCTTAAAGTGATCTGATGTCCTTACTGCTATTTCTTTGATTGATGGGTAAGCATCTTGTGTCCTTAACAAAGTTAAAGGCCCCTTGATGCCACTTTGATATTCACCCCAGTATCTGCATATAACCTAAAGGCTTTCATGAGTATAATTGGAGTGGTGTGCAAAAAAGAAGGCTGCTGTTGTATTTTAGACCAATCCAGTGTGAGTCTTAGGCCATACGGCAGATACATGTATATTGTTTTCCTACCTAGCATCACTTCATTCATCTCAGAATTTTCCTGCTTCTAAACATCTTTAAATCCAGCCCCCTATCTGTTCCAATAATATGATGTGTGAGGGTTGATTTTTTGGTAAAACTTTAATGACTTATGTTTCATAATATGAAAAAGTTTCTTATGAATGTGTATGAAAGAATTAAATTCTTGGGACTGAACCTAGGAAGACTTAGGACAGTGAAAGAGACCTGCATTTCTGGAGCAGTGTTGCATCAGCTCTTGTATGTGTCTCAGATAGAACCTGGATGATACACAGCTGCACCATTTCTAGGGGATTTGAGTTCTTCCCTTTCTTTCTGAAAAGGGCTAGCATATGTGTCTAACCTCCTCATATAAATTATTTGCTCATTTATTCATTGTTAATTATTCATTGGGGATTCACTATGCCTACAACAATGAAGAGAGAATAGAAACTTTATTTTCCAGAACTTCCTTCTATTGTATGATCAAAATGAGGGTATGTATTTGGAGTTATATATATATATATATATACTTAAAGGATGGGAATAGAAATATTTATGAATTTTAAAAAGCAAATATTAAACTTGATTGTGCTAGATAATTATCCAAGGATGGTTTATTTTTATTTATTTATTTTTACTTTTATTGTTTTTGGTGTTTTTGACACAGGTCCCTGTAGCCCCAGCTGACCTGGACCTCACTATGTAGACCAGGCTGGCCTTGAACTCACAGAGAGCCGCTTGCCTCTGCCTCTGCCTCCTGAGAGCTGGGATTAAAGATGTGCGCTACCACGCCTGGCTAGGATGGTTATTTTTAACTAAGGCAATAGTTTACAGGAATTACAAATGAATATTATATTGGATAATAATTTGTAGAGCACATAGAAAGCTGGACTGTTCTATCTGAAACAGGGAGAGGGCTGAAGCTTACACATGTACAGAACATGGTTTGAAAAACCATGAGATGAAGTAAGGTCCTCACCCCAGTCCATCAAGGTTGTGTTGATCTTTTCAGAAGGTGGAGCAATTCTGTGTGAGCAACATTCCCCAGAATGGCCAGAGTCTTTCCCCAGTGTTCATTTAGTACTTCATTATAGATGTTTAGTTGTTTACAAAAATGTCTTCCCATAGACCCCGTAAATAATGTTAATATTTGACTCTGAGGTTCAAGACACCAGGAAAATCAGAATACATATGCATTCCAAGAATTTACCTGGATTTTAATTTATTTTTATTGATAGAATTTGAGGATAGCTAATGTACAGCAAAGAAGACAGACATTTTCTTGTATCTGCCAGCAATTAAAAAAAGCTGTTGCTTTCAAATCTTATAAACAGCAATAGTAGGCATTTTCAAAAGGAATTATTTTCTGTCAATGCTCTACTTTAGTAAATTTGGTATTTTCTTTCTTTGGAATCTTCTAGTTTTTTTTTTCTGAAGTCAATTTCTTGGTATCTAAATCTCATTTGTGTGTGTGTGTGTGTGTGTGTGTATGATCTATGAGAGTGCGTATGTTTTCATGTGTGTTCACTTGTGCACTCAGGTACACATGCATCTATGTACTGGTATCTGTGTAGACCAGAGGTCAATGTTAGTGTCTCCCTCTATTATTCTCCTCCTTATTTTGTAATTATATTTTAGTTATTTATTTTGTGTGTGTGGTGGGGTGTGTGCCTGTCATAGCACACAAGTAAAGGTCAGAGGACAACCTTTGCATTCTTTCCTTCCACCATATGGGTTCCAGGATTGAACTCAGGTTCTCAGGCTCAGCAGCAATCACCTTTACCCACTAAGTCATCTCCTCTACTTTATTTTTTGAGGCAGGATCTCTCACTGAACCTGGAGCTCACTCATTACGCTAGAATACTACACATATACAACATGTATAACACACATACACCACACATGCATCGTGGAGCTGAGTACTAGGTTCAGGAGGTACTGGGGATTACTCTAACCATTCTAAAGTGTGTGTGTGTGTGTGTGGTGTGTAGTGTGTGTGTGTGTGGTGTGTAGTGTGTGTGTGTGTGTGTGAATATGTAGCATGTATGGTGTGTTTGAATAAAGTATGGAGTGTGTGAATATGTGGTGTGTAGGTGATGTCTGATGTGTGTCTATGTCCATGTGTATGTTGTGTGTGTGGTATATGTGTGGTGTGTGTTATGCATGTTTTGTGTGTGGTATATCTCTGTGTGGTATATGTTGTGTCTATGGCATGTACGTGTGTTGTATATGTGTTGTGTGTGGTGTATGTTGTGTGTGTGTTGGGGGTGTTGTGTGTCCTGGCTCAGGAGAAAGGGCTTGTGAGTGTTTGTGCTTATCCTGTTTAATGTGTGATGTTGACATGCAGTGAGTGGCTTGCCATTAGGGAAGCACTGAAGAGAGTGACCAGAGATGACAAATGATTGAGAAAGGGAGTAAGAGATAGGCTGGAGACTGAAGACACCATGGAACTTACATCATAAAATTGATTTAAAAAGTTCTTTTACACATTTTGAAGCCTGGTTTGGAACTGTGCCTGGCTGCTGTTTAGAACAGGCAATGGTTTCTGCAAACTTGGAGGACTGTTCTCTATTGAAACAGGAACCCTCCCTCTGTTCTCTTGAAGTCAGTGCTCCTATAAGGTGCTCACAACAGGACAGATGCCGTCATGAGTTCATGCATGGTGGTTACTTGAAGGGCACAGGCCAAGCGTTATTTATATTCTTAGTGTTGAACTTAGTACCATGCACATAAATAGGTGTTTAATCTGTTTCATTGAAAGGCCCTATATTTACTCTTGTAAATTCTACATTATCAGTTAAGGCTCTGCTTTAAACCCAAATCTTTAGAAGAACCTTCTTTGACCATCTCAGATGACAGAATTAATGATTATTATCTAAATAAACATTATGTAGCTTGTCTTAAAATTTCATCTTTCGTTTCTCAAATTAGGAGATGTTATTTATCTCCACCTCGAATGTCCCCCGCTTTGAGTGGGCAGAGGAAAATGGAAAGCACTTTGTACAGGAAAAAAGAAACCCCCACTGCTTCAGAAACAAGCAGGTCCTGGGGCAGAGTGCACGGCTGGCGGGAGCGTGGGCAAGACGCCTCACCCACACTTGTACTTTGTGCAGTACACAATTTGCACAACAGTGCACAGCAGCCCAAAGCATGCTAAACGTTTTGGTTGGATGGCATTAGAGGAAGTCTCGGGGTTCCAGAATGCACATCGGTAGGAAGACCGTCATTGCTTTCTGGACTGTTTTTGGCAGTTCTTGCAATGAAGGGCCACCTCGGAAACGGATCTTTTAGTGAATCAGGCTTTCTACGTGAAACTGCCTTCCTAAAGTGAGCTGCTGGGGCCATGTCAGCTTTCTTGTCCTGCGAGCTCCGCTGTTAGATGACATTTCCTTTCTGAAAGGACAGCGTGTTTGAATTCCAGAGGGTGATGGGGATGGGCTTACTTAGAAGTTAGAAGTTGTTCACTACAAGAACCAAGTTGTGTATTGTGTGTGTATGTGTGTGTGTGAGAGAGAGACAGAGAGAGAGAGAGAGAGAGAGAGAGAGAGAGAGAGAGAGAGAGAGAGAGAGAGGAAGAAGGAGGGAGGGAGGGAGGGAGAGAATAAATCCTGGGTTGGGAGTTAGAAGTGGTCTAACTCAAATTTTGCTTGAGAGTTGCCTGATTTCATTTGAATTGCTGAGAAACTTGCTAAGCTCTGTTTTTATTTTATTGATTTTTCTGGGAGTCCATACTGCTTTTCCTGAGCGTGTCAACTGTTCATGTAAATTCAATGTGACATTTTGGAATGATAGCACAGAAAACTATGATTTTCAGCTATCCATCAAACGAGATCAACTTTGATAGGAGCAAAGTCAGCAGAATGGACAGAATGGAGGTTCACCAGTATCTGACATGATGTTGCTCTTCAGAGTTGGACACTTTTTCCATTAAAAAAAATGGATTAAGTGAATTTGGTGGTTTGACCTGAGTGTGGGGATCCCATGACTGTGTAGCATTGTTTCATTGAGGGAATTTGTTCAATCTATTGCTAGCACCCTTGTCAGATAAGAACAGCTTCCTGCCTGGGCCTGTTCACAAGGAGCTCCTGTTTGTCTTCGGCTTGTATCCTGTGACTAAGCTACATAATAAAATGTTGAAACCCAATGTGCTTTAATTACAAAATGACCACACCCCATGGAAGATGTAAAGTCTGATTTTAAAAATGGAGATTTATTTATGGTTATGATCTCATGTTCTGTCAAAACAAAATAAAACAGAAACCCAAACCATACGCAAACAACATTGGATTCATTGGACGAGCTTTTGAACACAAACATCCTTGACCAGGCGAGACACTGTCTGCCCTGAAGCCCCTGGGGAAGGGCTGGCCTTTCATTGATTTCAAAAAGAACTTCCTAGCTGGATCCACTCCCTAGGGATGTTAGGGAAGGCTGCTCTAGGGCCAAGTTCTCAAGGCTGAATTCTCGAGGTTATGGAAGAAGATTAGGAAGCAGAGTAGAAGTAATAAAGGTGTGTTTCCAACTTTCCACAGGTTTGCCAGATGGTATTAATCTCACTGGCAAAAATTAGTAGCTTGTTGGCCTGTCCTCCTGTGATCAAAATGTTAGTTGAGCTGTGATGGGAAGTTGCTCTTTCTTAAAGCATCCTTATTGTTGAAATGTGAGTGCCATTAGGATATTTCAGTGCAAAACCATCAAAATAAAAATAGTCATAAGTTACCTTCAAATGCTGGTGTTTTAATTTTTCTTCCTCTATTTTCAGACGCTTCTGTGAGATTTCTTCCTGTATTTTTCTTTTATCCTGAAATTAAAAAACACATTTGAGCATAAATAAATTTTGTTCATTTATTTTCAGTTATTTATTTTTACTTTAGGTGTTTGAGTGTTTTGTCTGCATATAAGTGCACCATTTGGATGCAATACCCACAGAGGCCAGAAGAGGGCATCAGATCCCATGGAACTGAAGTTACATGTGGTTGTTAGCTGCCATGTGGGTGCTGGGAACTGAACCTGCATCCTCTGAAAGAGCAGTTAGTGCTCTTAACTGCTGAAACTTTCTCCAGCTCAAGCCCTCAAAATTTAAAATTTGCCTAACTATGTTATCTGGGGATTGTTATTGTTGGGATGGATAGGTAATGATTTGCCTTTGGATTTCTGAAAACTCATGTTTCAAAGCAAAGGAGAGAAAAGGGAGTTGGTCAAAAGATTTGACCTAAGGGAAAACACGGAAAGGTGTTTTATATTTAAGGAGAACTTAAAAATATTTTGATGTCTTTCTTTCCCCTTCCCCTTCTTCCCTAGTAGTCTAGTGAAATAGATCTGTGTGATCATGGAAAGAAGTGAATTTAAGGAGGGCATTTTGAAATGGGCAGGAGGAGCCTCTGTGAGAAGGGAGACTGTTCTTGGCACAGGCAGAAGTTTCTGGGTGAAGGGTCACACATATGGAAAACAGGACTGCACAGGGACTGGGTCATTAGAGAGAGGGAAGCTAGAAAGTGGTCTGCTTCCTACTTGTGTGACTGGCAGACATGGAAAATGGAGTTTAGATAATGTCTCTTTACATTAGCTGAAACAAAAAATAATTCATGATGTGTTGTATTTTTACCAAGTTTAAATATATCACCTCAAAATGAACAGACAAATGAACTAACCAACCAACCAACCAACCAATCCACTCACCAATCCCAAAACCTACACATAACAGCAACACAGAATCAACAGTGTTCACGGGTTATACTTTAGAAAACAGCATGTGTTGAATAGACAGTCTGGGTTTGGTTTCTGACTCTCATTTTTCTGCTCTGTGTCATTAGACAAAAACCTTCTGTACCCCAATTACCTCATCTGTAAAATGGGAAATTAAGAATATGTACCTCATAGGATATGAGCTGGTACATGGGAAAGTTCCTAGAGTTCTAGCATCTGTTTAGTAAAACTCAGTAAATAAGCACATAACATAATACCCATGGAAAACCACACGGTAATTCAGACAGTGCTCCAATGGCCCCAAATGCTTTAGAGATTCCCTGCCTGGAATTGAGACATTTGACTAGCCAAGCAAAAGAAAGTCCCATTTTCTCATTAAAAATAAAAATCAGAGGTGACGTTATCTTCCATCTTACCTATAAGAATTACTTTTAAACTTGCTTTCAAAATTGAAAATTCACTGGGCGTGGTGGTGCATACCTTTAATCCCAGCATTTGGGAGGCAGGCCAGCCTGGTCTGCATAGTGAGTTCAGGACAGCTGGGGCTACAGGGAGACCCTGTCTCCAAAAAAAAAAAAAAAAAAAAAATTGAAAATTCTCAATGCACAAAATATTGTTGCCAACAAAGGCGCCTAAAAGAATTTGGGGTCGACTTAGAAGGTAATTTAGAGGGAAGACTTCCAAAAATATTTGGCAGCATTATTGAAGCAAGCACACAGCTTCCTCCGAAGATTAAAAACGCCTTTTTTTGATGTGTAAGCCCAGGTATATTTGTTGAAGAAAAACAACACGTTGTTCTCCAACTTTTATGCTGGGCTTCTCCTGTGTGTGGGAAGAATACATGACTTCATCAGAATTATTTAAAAAAAATTTTAAAAATAATTCTTTTGGGAAAAAAATAGCTAGGCAACAAGCAAGCTCGAGTCTTTAGAATCACCTCTTTGTTTTGGATGAAGTCTAGTCTTTGGTCATGAAAGCTCCGAAAACCTCTGTGAGTTGATTCTCCATTATTATAAAGCAAATGTTAGTAGTATTTTGTTTGTGCTAATTATTTTAGTAATTACTTCACAGGCATTGTTTCATTTAATAGTTATACTAACAAAGAGATTATAAGAATTCCATTTTACAAAAGAGGAATTAGAAGTTTGGGGAGGGAGTTAACGGTTCAAATTCTAGTAACTGATAGAGACAGGATTTGAACCCAGACAATTTGAGATCAGCCACTATACTCTTGGCTAAAATATAGGCTTTCCTTGAGTGGGAAGCTAACTGAGCAAGTCACAACTTCTCTCTTTGCTCACCCCCATTCTGAAGCCCTGGAGGCTTGGAGGCAGCCTCAGGACAGGGAGTGAGGCATGGGACCCATCATTAGGAAGGAACACCTTTAGTTCCTTAGGTGTGATGTTACCCACTCTTCTCCAGGGCTAGCTCACAGAGAAACACATGGGATGTGTGTAGACAGTGACTACTGAGCCCAGCAATACTTCCCCACCCTTATTGGCACCAGTTTGTGCTGATTTCATTTTGGGGTTAGTAATCAAGTAGTGGAAGCTGAAGGTAGAGGCAGGGCCTCTAAAGTGTTTTGACAACACCAGGCTTATGCAAGTGTTGCTAGGGAACACTAATGTTTTGTCAATTGGAGGTAATATGATGCCTCTCTCCTATCAGTCTAGGTAGGTGGGAAGGTAATCTTATTATGTTAAAGGATGATCCTATTTTAAGTTAAGACTGACTTTTCCTCATAAGATATTAAGCAGTACAAGGCTATTATTCCTTTGCTAAGTTTGATAGTAATATATAAGCATTACTGCCAAATGACATGGGAATAATTTGGTTTCGATACGGTCGAATAAACTATAAATCGACCTCAGGTTTTGCATGTTGTTCTACTGCTAGCTTCACAGGAGTTATCAGACTCAGCTAGTTCCTTGCTGAACTAGCATGAAAAAAGTAGATATGGCTTCCCTGGAGCACCTCTGTAGACGGTTCTGTATCCTGGCACACCAAACACTTAACTATTGTCGATAATTCTGAATAACTTTTACTGTTATTACTTCATCAGTGTTCAATTCCCCTTGCTCAATTAGACTTTTTGTTCAATGAACAACTGCTTGGATTTTTGGCTATCTGACTTAACCCATTTTAGCAGTTAAGAGCCACAAATTCCAATTCTGTAAAGACTACCTTTTATTTTAAAAAGTCACTCATTGACTCAGTGCAATTGAAAATCATTATGACCATCTAGTATACAAAGATATTACCACAATCACATGCTTCATAAAAGTGGAGGTGTTATTAATAATCAGTAATATTTATATATATCTGATTCTGTCAAGTCAGGATTTATCTGGAGTTATTTATTAGTTTATTCAGTACTTAGGCACAGATGTTATAGTCACAGTGACAGGAGTTCTGCAATGTTTTAAAACTATTCAGGGGCCAATGAGATAATTCAGTCAGTGGGTAAAAGCTTTTGCTGCACAAGCCTGAGTTTGATCTCTAGAACCCATGTTAAAAAAACACACAACAGTTAGGCTGGGCATGGTAGGTGACACATGACTTTCAATCCAGCATTCAGTGGCAGAGGCAGGCAGAACTCTGTGAGTTGGAGGCCAGCTTGGTCAACACAGTGAATTCTTGACAGGGCTATACAATGAGACCCTATCCTGAAAAAAAGAAAAGAAAACAAAACAAAACAAAAAAACTGGATGTGTTGGCATGCATCGATAATTCCAGCACTCCTACAGGGGGATGGGAGACAGTCAGACAAGACAGACCCTGCCTAACAAGGTGGAAAAAGAGAATTGACCCCCAAAAGTTGTCCTCTGATCTTCACATGTGTACCATGGCATGTATGTGCCTGCATTTACACACATACCACACACAGACATACATCACACACTAATTAGAGTAAATAAAATAAATAAATGAAATTATTCAGAAGCAGATGCTTTCTCTAAGAAGCTCACATTCTCACGAAGAAGGAAAATCATTTATGCAATCATTTATCACTGCATCTGAGAAATATAGTGACCATCGGAACTCAGGGCAACAGTGTCCTGTGAGGTTGGGAGTAGACAGGGAAAGGTTGCTTCCAGCTGATATGATTAAGAGAGGCTCTGGAACAGCATCTGGATGGGTGAGTTGAGTAGTTGCTGGGACTGGGAATGGGGAGAAAGGACACTCAAGTCAAGGGCTCAGTGTGAGCTAAGGCCTGGGCCTAGCATATTGAGACATTATTTGGAAGAATAAACCTGGAATCTAAATTGTTATAGAAGGAGTAGCAGGAAATGTACCAAGAATGACAGGATAAATAGAATCCTAATGGCATTGAATGGTATAACAAGGGGCCTGAAAGTCATTTATGCACTGAATTAGCAGGTAATGAAAGGATTTAGGGAGAAAAGAATGACAGAATTAAAATCCTATTTTAGAAGTTAAATGTAGCCTTACTGCAAACTTGGGGGAGAATTTAAAGGGGAATTCTGGTTAGACTACTTCAACCGTACAAGGCTAGGAGTGTTTGGACCAAAGAAGCAGAATGAGTGACTGTTTGAGACAGTGGTGAGTTAAAATTGTCAGGACTTGGCACCCGATGGCATATGGATGAGGGGGAGGCAAAAGTCAAGTTGGATATAGTGCTAGGTAACATGGAAGTGTGGAATCACTCCTAGAAACAGTGAAGAACCCTTGGGATGAAGTGGTAGGGTTATGTGATGGAGAGTTGGAACGTGGACGGAGGGAGCTGAGGGGAAAAATCTGAGCTGGGGATAGAGAGGGGAGAGCTTTGGAAGGGATGGATGAGAGCATGATGGGGGATTTTTTTTTTTTTTTTTTTTATGAAAAGAGAAGAAAGGCTGAAGACAGATTATGCCTTAGAGCTCAGGAGCAGATATTTTCATGTGGAAGTTTATTTTCATTTCAGTCAGATATTGTTTATAATGAAACTTGATAAATTTGGCCACATGACTGAAAGAAGCCATTGGAAGGAAGGGCATGTGTTATTTCAGATAAACAGATTACAAGAAGCAAGAAGTCATAATGTGTTGTGATAGTGCAAGTTGTAAGAGATTGTGCTCACATGGTCCAAATACT